GGCTTGCGTCAAGATCTCACACATCATTTTCTCCAAAATTTTATCAGCATTCCATGTCCCATTAGACATTAAAATCGGATGCTAATTGCCTAGCTTTTACTTGCCTTATTCTTAATGCAGTTATTGAATTGCAATAAAGAACTTCCAGCTTTGTGCTATGATGTAGCAGTCCATAACACTGCATTTCCATTTACCTTTCACCTAGCGCTATGCTCTGTAGTATAAGAAAAACCACTTTGTTACCAGACAGTAATACATTGTTCTCCCTTCTTGGAGGCAACTTTTGAACAAGAGCAACTTCTTTAAGTATAGAGCTTAAGATGTCAGTAGAGGAGAAAGGAAACAGCGTCTGCATAACCCACAGCTGTGCATTCACCTAAATTAAGTAGTAAGTCTCAGGAGGCATTGCTGTACCACTCAGACTGACCTGCGGCCCCCCAGGCCAACGTGACTCATGGCAATCATAGATTCAAAACTAAGACACGCACAACAGAAAGCAGACGTTTGTTTTCCCTTCTTACCTAAGATGAAACTGACTCAGCTTCAGTAAGCATGATCTCTGTGTCACCCTGCAGCTTCAAATCAGTACGACTGGTGTTACATCTGTCAGCAAGTTCTGCATGACTGTGTAGTTCAATAAGAATCTGACTAATAGATCGTGCCATCCTGTCTCAACAGAGGCTTTAGAGATCTCTCAGTAGGCCGCTTTAATTGCGACTGCAAGCTCCTAGACATCTAATAAACTTGACTTGACATGACACAGATAACAAGAAGTTACACAGCCAACACAGTGAGAACAGGAGGATTTTGTTCCAGCTGTTCATGAAAACCCTGTCTGCCCCACAGCAAAACCTTGTTAACTGTGTGCTCTCACTACTACCCTGGGAAAATAAAGCATCTGCACCATCGCATCAATTTGTGCACACAATCCATGTTTCTAGGTGTGTCGTCACACTTTTCTCATACTGCAGGATCAAACAGATCTCACTCAAAACATAAAGGTCTCACACCTATCTTCATAAAGAACAAGTTTGATAATAAAATTAATAAAATTAATCATTCTTGCTACTTTAAGTTGGTCCAAGTGTATTTATTTATTTATTGAGATGAGAGTTGAAGGGGTGGTGAAGAAGGAAAAAAAAGTAACCAACCTCAGCAAAGCTCCACAAGCTGTGCACTTCAAACATCACTGGTCACCAAAATCCTACAAACACTGGCTGTGTAAACTGCCCAAACTTCAGAAAGTTCAAGCCTTACTTTAACCTAGAAACTTCTTCCTGCTTCAGGGAACGCAAAGATTATATGGCCTGAGAGGAGCAAACTCAAGCACATACATGCAAGCTAGAGTTCAAGTAGTAGCCTTTTTCCTTTGAGCAACTACAGTAAGGTTTTTGCTACGTCTTGGAGGGTCTTTTTCTATTCTAACTTAGAAACACTGCTGGTATTGGGTGATCCTCTGCTGTGTGCTGCAGGTAGCATGGAAAACAAACTGTAACTCAGCTGCTCGAAGCACTGCTCTAAGAACAATTAAACAAGTGAAAAAAACAATTTGGACTACAGGTTACCGATGAAAAAAAGAAAAAAACAATTTTAAAAAGAACTTGCTCTCTCCACTTGAAAGAAACTGAAATGAACTTCAGAATACACGTCTTAAAACCTTGAAACTGCCAGAAGTATCACTGAGCAAATAGAATACACAGAATATAAACAACTGCATGCCCATCTAGCCTTCCTCAGGGAGAAAATACATCACACTCAGCTGTGACTTGAGTATTTGATTGCTGCATAATATCCAGCAATTGCTACAGATGTTCCCACGTGCATCTAACAACAAAATCAATATCATGTCAAATAGCCCATCATTATGGAGCTACAATGACAGATTTTCCTTTCTTTCAAGTAGTTGTAAGGGCACTATAATATAAATCATCAGGCAAGCCATAGAAGTGCAAGTTTCTAGACACTTGTTGGCTATTTTCTTTGAAATTCTTTTGAACTAGAGACAACCAAAAGCATAAAGGGGCTGTGAGCAACCTGGTCTAGAAGGAGGTGTCCCCCTTCCAACGCAAACCATTTTATGATTCTATAAGAAATCAAATACTGCCCACTGCAAACAGCCTGGTAGATCTTCAAGGATTTCTCCATGAAAAAAAAAAAAAAAAAAAAGCCCAAGAACCCTAATCTCAAAAAACCCAACACCCCCCCTTCCACTGCTAAGAACCCTAAAGGCCGCGTTACATCAGAAACATCACATTCAGTTATCTGCATGTGTTACCCTCACAGACTTCCTAAATACAAAGCTGGTGGATCTACCACATCTGCTTCTTTGTTCCTACCATGTCAGCCTCCTTCTCTGGCTACATTACTCACTCAGGCTCAAAGCTGAACTCAGCAACAGCAGCCTACAATTTATTTCCTCCAACCCCTAATAAGTTTTAATGGCAGATTCAACTGTGCTTATTCCAGTGCAACCCCTACATTTAATCACAGAAAACATTGCTATCACCGATTTATTTAGCTGCTATCCAAATAAACAGACCCACTTTCTCAAATAAAGTTTAGATCACTATCAGCCATAATAAATCTTTGGTCACTGACTGCAAGATGCATTGAGAGCTGCCCAAGAAAAGAGACACCTTTCCCGCCCCTACAAAAAAACAAAAAAACCCCAAACAAACAAAAAACCAAAAACCACCAAAGCTAAAAACAAATAAGCAAACAAAGCACCACAAAAACCAAATTCTATAAGCCAACCTAAACATAAAACCACACAGTCAATATATCTTCTGTAGAGCACAGACAGCCCTTGCCAGACATCAAACTCCATCAAACACCATTTCTAGATCACATTTATTTGTAAAAACCTATTAAAAGACACCCTAAAGAAAAGTGGTTTCCTAAAAAGAAGGAAAAAATCCTCACAGGGTTTTCAGAAAAATTACATAGATTAAAAAATAACCCCATTAAGATCTGTAAGGAGAGTTGCTCTTAATTAGCAAATAGAAAAAAAAATGATGCAAGGATCAAGTACATGTACGTAAAATAGCCATTAAAATCAAAAGGAAAAAACAACAACTTAAGAACTACAGTTTCCTTCCAACCTTCATACAAGTAGGAGCTTCCTGCCTAAAATCTAAGTTTCACCACAAAAACACTGAAATAGCAGTCTGCAGAGCAATACTCTCTGTTCAAAATGTTCAAAATGTTTTTGTTAGTGGAGGTGTTGGCTATCAGTCACCACATTTCCAGTATAACCCCCCCAAACAGGAAGCCCGTAGTAGCACTGGATCATCCTTCACATGGCTTGGTAGCACTTACTAGCAATGAAGGTCAGCGATGTGCAAGGCAGCAATACCAGCACCTCACTGCTTACCCCCTACCAGGCCACCACCGTGTCAGCCTGTATGGCAGCTTTATCTTGGAACCACGCAAGCTTTAATTGATTAATATGATTAATTAATGTGATTAATATGGCTTTGAAGAAGCAACTAATAATTAACAGCAATGAAATATATTGTCCGCTGTGGATAATCATTCTGCCGATAATGCATTGAATGAGAACTGCTCAGTGAACCTAGCTCTGCTATGCATCATTGATATATATGCAACTGAAAACAAGAAAAACTACACATGCAAACACCACAATAATGAGAACTGTACTTTCCCAGCCCATTCCCAAGTAGATCTCTGCCTATAAGCACTGCTGGTTTACTACAAGTTACTTTGATCCTTTCCAGTGACAAATGACCCAAACAAGCTGTTGACCAACCTTTTTATACTATCTTTTGGCCAAGTTCAAAGCAAAATTAAAAACTCCAGTGTTCATTTCTAATTCAGACAAAACCAAACTACAATCTTCAGTATCTTCTACTTTTTGCCATCAGCAGCAGTGCCAGCTCAGATGAAGCTGCAGACTCTTCCAACTTTTTTATTTCAACCCAGGTGCCCGCATTGCATGCTATCAGCCTTCTATTCTTTGCTGGATTTTCTGTCCAATTTCAAACCACCACTGCTTAGAGAGGCACATGAGTGGCTTCTATTGTTAAAGGGTATAAACTATAACTCAAGCAAGATCACCGTAGCTTTTTCTTCCATCTTACAGAAACGAGTGTTTTTCTATTTGATCTCTGGTTTAACAGAGCTGGGGTCAGTTAGAATTTCACAGAGTTGTCTGGAAGGAACCTTTAAAGGCCATTCAGTGCAACCCCCTGAGGTGAACAGGGACACCACAGCCAGGTCAGGTGCTCACAGCCCCATCCAGCCTGACCGTGGGCATCTGCAGGGCTGGGGCCCCACCACCCCCGGACAAAACCTGCTCTCCTTCCTCTCAGCCCCAGAGTCCCACTTTTACTAATGAAAACTCTCTTTTCCCCACTGGCTAACCTTCTCTCAAAACACTCATCTGTCCTCCTGCCTTGCCCTATCAGAAGGCATGCTGCATACACAGTGATCGCTGCAGGCTATGGGATGGAGCTGTATCTCGAACCGAGAGAGCTCTGCTCTGCTTTCGTAGCTCCTTCAGAGCTGCCACCGACCTCGCACTCTATCAATTAGGTGAGAGTCGGGTCTGGGACTGTGTGAAAACTTACGAGTCGTTCACACGGCCACTACAGACGGTACGAACTCAGACGGCCCAGGCTCAGCCGTACCGTACAACAACCAGCACAGCACTTTACCAAACACCGATGCTTATAACCGCATTCTTCCAGAGAGAGGTGCGGTCTCACACCCTCAAACGCCGAACGAACCGAACCAAGTCCCGTTTCCATAGCAGCCCGGCGCTACGGGGAACGGCGGTCAGCGAGCGCAGCGCGGGACTTGGGGCGGGCGCGGACACCGACCTGCCACCGCCTGCCACCCCGCTCAGCCCCAGCGGTCCGGGACGAGTCAGGACAGGAGGACGGCCGAGCCCCGCCGCGGGCAGGGCGGAGGCAAGAGACCGCCAGAGCGCCGCCCAGCGCGTTGGGCGACAGCCGCCGAGGCCGCCCAGCTCGCCTCACCTGCCGCAGCCTCACCTTCCTTCCTGCTGAGCGCCATGGCCCAGCACGGCCCGACCTAACCGCACAGTCAGCCGGCCCGCGCCCGTCCTCCTTCCTGTTCCCCGCCGCACCCGTCCGTCAAGAGTTCGGGGTCTCTCCATTGGCTGACACGGCGGCGGGAGGCGTGCCTTCCTCGCGTGGCCCCTCCCTCCCCCCTTACCTGCACCGTCTGCCGGCTCCGGTAGGGGGCGCGCGGCCGCGCAGAGCCGCCGGGGGCGCGCGCGGCGGCGGGATGCTGGGCGTAGGGCGCTGCTGCCGCTGCCGGCCGCGCTCTCCCCGACCCTGAGCCGGCGGCGCCGCCGCGCCCAGCCCGCACCTGCCCGGTGAATAATGCACTAGAATGTCAGCGCTGAGAAAGGTAGGCGGGCGGCGGGGGCCGCCGTCGGGGCGCCGCTGACTGAGGGAAGGGGGCGACGGCACCGCGGGGTCCGGGCGCTGCGCCTGGGGCCGGGGGGCGTCGAGCGGGAGGTGAGGCTCGGGGCCGGGCGCTCGACGGGACGGGGGTGCGGGCAGCGCGCGACCCACGAGGAGACGCCGGCGGGCTCCGTCCCGCCCGCAGCCCGGTTCGGGCGGCCGTGCCCCACTTCTGGCAGAGGTATCGAAGTGTCGCGGCCTCGACTTGCCGAACTTCCAGCGGCTGGGCGTCCTCGGCGACGAGCCCGAGGTACCCTATTTGGGCCGCTGCAAGAACCGCGGGCAGCGGCGGCCGCGGGCAGCGGAGCTGCGGCGTGTGCTCGGCTGCGAGCTGAGCGCCGCGCGCTGCGGCTCGGGGGGCGGCGCGGGAGGGAACGGCTGGCGCGGGGCCGCTGTGGAAAAGTGGCCGTCGTGCCGGGCAGGTGATGTTCCGTAACGCGAGTGAACCCGGGGTGCTGTGCTGCCGCACCTGCGCTCGGCTTCGCTTCTGTCTCTGCGTGGTGTCGGAAGAAATAGGTAAAGGAGGAAGAGTGAAACTTTTGTACCGCCGCGCTTTCAGCTCTGCAGCAATCCCGTTTTCTAAAAAAAAGCCGTTTCTAAATGAACCTCGCGAAGAATTTTCTTTCTATGTTACAAGCTTTAATATCGCTGCGTGCGGCTTTTCTTACAAGGCTGGCCGGCTGTTAGCATTTGTATTTCACGCGCTGCCGCCGTGCCCTCCCCTCCTCGTCCCCCCCGACTCATTTCGTGTCTTTTCAAGACGTTCACTATGTGGTTAAAATGAATCCCGAGCGTGTACAATGGTTTTATGAATTATGATGTTACTAAGCATTGGAGAGTTAATTCTGGGTGCTGCAGTCAGACCCTGTGTGATCCAACATAATATCCTGAAGTTAAATAATGCACGTATTGTGCTGCCGTTCAGTTAAACGTGAAGTGAAAACTGGGACTGTCAAATAAATTCGTTGGTTCTGTTATAGATTATTTTTAGCTTTTCATTTTAGTGCTATTAGTGGTATTAATATCTGGCTATACACTTAGCTACATGCCCTGAAAGCAGTGCTGGGCATAGATTGCTCTTTGTTAACTTTTTAGAATTTGAAGTCCTTGTGCAATTTTTAAGTTTCTCTGGTACAAAGTGAAGATATGCTTAAGGCAAAACCCTAAGGGCTGCAAAGGAGCCCTCAATAGGCAGCCTGCCCAGCGGAGGTGCTGGGAGAGTCTGCGCAGTCTGTGCAACAGACCGAGCTGCACAGATGAGCCCAAGGCTCCCACATGGGTGCTGGTTCCCCAGTGCTGAGCAGGAGTTTGTGTCAGTGTGGGGGAAAGGCTCATCAGTATCAGCAGTGATGCTGTGGGCTATGCTGGGCTGTCACAAGCTGCCAAGCCAAGACAGAAATTACACTCGTGGAGGTCCATTGTGACCAGCTAATAATTATTTCTAGTCAGTTCAAAAATGTGAAGTAAGCTCTCACTGAACAAGTGCGCTGGCTTTAAAGAGCAATGCATTCCTAAATGAGGCGGGCTGTCACACCTGAGCCTGAGAGTCTCAGGTCATCCCCTCTGAGTGCAGTCTGTGGCCAAGGGTACAGTCCTGATAGGGAATATTCTTGGACAATGTAGTGACTGCTTTCAGCCTGACTGGGAGCATTGTCTGGCTAAATTATTAACATAGGAATAGTCACTGGCATAGTTTGGGCTTTGACTAAGGTGTCGAAGCAATATTTCACACCTGCCTCTAATAGGCAGGAACTTTTTTCCCTGTTTGCAATTGCACACAGTCAAAGCAATTTTCCTGCATAGCTATGATAGTCTTATGAGTAGTTTTGTAGTAAAAAGAACATTGAAATAAAGACTTGTTTTTTCTGAAGTGCACCATCAGGGGGCTCTTTCAAACTGTATCAGTCAAACAAAAACAGCTGTTTCAATTCTACTGTGTGAACAAGACAATTGTTATTAGCTGCTCCAGCTTACCACCAAGCGAAGCGGTTTGTCTAAGCAGGCTTTGGAAATGGGGCAGCCAATAGTGCTGAAACATAGCGTTAGCTTGTTGGTAATGATGGAATTGAAGAGAGACTTGCACTTGTTAGAAATATGCTGTATGGGCCAGAATGTCCCACCTGATGGTGAACTATTCTGTTTGATGAATGGGTAGTTTTGTTTGGATAACTAGGGAAAGAAATTAAATGTAGTTTAGTTTGCCTTATGAAAATTCATAGTCATCCACGAACCATATGGCTTTCCTACCCCTAGTAGGGAAATGTATCTATGCATGGCAGAAAGAGTGTGTCAACAGCTATGATCAAATATAAGTAGAAGTGGGCAGAAATGATTCAGAATCTCTTTTAAAGTAGACCTGAGACTACAACTTCTCATATTTCAGCCCATATATTCTCCATTATAGAATTATACTTCCCGAAACAGATTATAGTTCATCACAGCTACTTTCTGCTGCAGAGGCCAAAATGATTCATTAGAGTAAGTACTGTTCCTTTTACTTTTTTTTTTTTTTTTTTAAAGGAAATGTCAAGTGGCAGTTTATTCATTTGGTGCACGCTCAGTTGTGATAAGAGGAAGGGAATCACTGCAGTCAGATTTCTCAGCGCTTCTACATACTTGGTCTCACTTTATTCTTTCCTGTTTATCATTTTGATTTTTTCTGTGCACAAGCAAGGGCATTTATCTTCTCTTCGTTTTCCTTGCTTGCTCTTTGTATTTCTCTGTCCTTGCCAGTTTTGAAAATTGAACAGCTAGCTTCCAGTATGACTTTGACCCTTAGCCCTCAAATTTGTTTATTTATTAATTTTATAACCATTTATTCTTATAATCTTGAAAAGTTTCCTTTCCTTACAGTGTATGTGTATGGTAGTATGTATTTGGCACTAAATGTACGAGGCATAATATAGAGGAGGGCTTTTTTCTCACAAGTACCTGTTGTCTTCAGTAGATGTTCTTAGTGCTATATGTAGACGCATTGATGGTAATATAACAGGACAAAAATACAGTGAAAGACATACATAAATCCATGAAGGCAGTATCAGTAATTTAGAGACTTGGAATTAATATAATGCACAAATAGTACAAGGAGTAGTATACAGCAGAGCTTTTTATCTTTACCTCCCCATCGTCCTTCATAGCTGCTCCTTTTCCACCCAAAGTCCTTCCTCTGCTCTTAATCTTGTATCCCCATGTTGAATGTTCTCTTGAAAATTCAATTTGCTTTGTCAAAGAAAAGCATCCTAGGTTTGTCACATCTACTGAGCTCTGTCTTGCAACAACAAATTTTATTCTAGCAAATGTAAAGGTTAAGTCTTGATAATAAAATCACAAAGATAGAGAAGGAAAGTGGAAGATGAAGGAGCTGAGAATTAGGATTGGACACCAGATGCTGGTGGGGTTGTCATTGAAGGTGTCTGTCATCCATAGTTAATCCTGGAGGTGGAGAAGCCTCTAGATGAAGCCTTCCTCAGAAAGGTCCAGCTGCCTTTCTGAGTGAATAACTGTGCTGTGTTGCCCTGGAGAGGAAATGGGTCAGTACTGAGAGCAGCAACTCAAAACTTCCTTTTTTTTTTTTTTTTTTGGTGCTGTTTCCTAATTATCCTTCTTCTGATCTTTTAATTTAGGCAACAGTCTGTTTTTTAATAATCTCTAAGATGTGGGTGAGAATACAAAGTAATTGTTTAAGCTTGCCTGGAATCTAATTGCCCTTAGCATTCATGGGGTTTTTTAACATGTTGGCTTCTTATGAGACTTATTTTTCGTAGTGGAGGTCACCTGAATTAGTTTTCTCTGATTCTTTACTTCTCAACAGCATGACTTGCACTGTAAAAAAAATTTTAATGCCTTCATGATAATATAAAAATGGCGTATAATGAAATAAAAGTCTTCTGCAATTCTGATAGTCTCACAGTTGGACAGGTGGGTGACTTTCCATGGAAACTATATGCAGCCTTATTAACAGCACAGCTAATCGACGTAGCCTTTAAGGAAACTGCCCAAATCATTTCACTTTGCACTGCCATTTTGGGAGCTCATGCAGCTGTGGGGTACAGGAGTGCGTTACGGTGCTGCTGGGTGTTTTGCTGGCAGCCAAGAGTAGGAGGAACTTCCCCGCTTTCACACCTTCCTTCTAGTTTCACGTATAGCCCATAAAAATAACACAGAGCAAATGGCTTCAGTAGCCACAAGTGGGAGGTTATTTTCGAGCTTTTTTTTTCCTCCCGAATGGCAAACAGTAGGGAGGGAGTCTTATGATATTACTATTCCTTCTATTTTTCTAGAGTAATCTATAAAAGTGGGGGGAAGGACAAAAGAAAAAACAGAGGATCTTTCACGCTCCCATTCCTATCGATTTGTGGCTTCATAAGACATTGGAATATGAAGCTACAGAGAATAAATGCTCTTACTCAATCGAATTTGTGCAAACCGAGCCCAGGTAAGACAAAAGACACTTTGGCTTCATTCGTGTGGAGTGAGATTCTCTCTAAGAGAACCAGCACCAGGCCCACCTTGCGTGCTCTGCACCATTGCACTTTTCACTCAAAATGAACACATAAATTCTTGAATTTCAGATGGGTAGCAGTTATCCTCCCTGATGAGAAGAAAGGAGGATGTAGTTTGCCTTTCTTCCTT